GGTTTTTCCGAAAAATGGTTCCAAAATCACCCCCAATTTTTATTACATTTTCTGATACATATTGATGTACTTATGCTGTGTAGAAAGTTTGAGTTGATTCCGAACTCAAATTTTCAAGTTATAGCCATTTTAAAAAATGAGCCAATTTCTAAAAATTTTCCTGTACTATAGCCCATAGTTCTCCAAAATTACCCCAAATTTTTATTACATTTTCTGATACATATTGACATACCTCCATTCCTCTTTTTCTCTTTTTTCTCTTTCAATAGCTGAGACTACAGCATCAAAGAAGTTCAAACATGCTGACATGTTACTTCAAACTTTAAGAGGAACCAGTTTCAAAACTCACTCCTCATATTTATCTCCTGTTCACTCCCCAGCCCCTCCTCCTGAACCAATGTATGATAACATTGAAGAGAAGAGAAGAGTCCATGCTGTTAATATACAAGCATTACCTGAGATACAACCTTGTCCAGCTTATGCAGTACCCCCGGCAGTACCACCAGGATTACACAGGCCACTTGCTGTCAATGTACAGGATCAACAATACATTGAGTTTGATTGACTGTTAGTGAGTGTGTGTTTGTATGTGTGTACTGATAGTTTGGTACTATATTGGTGTTATTATTATTATTGTCCTGGTTGTTTTACTGTCATGCATCAACTAGTGGCTAGTCAACTAGGTAAATTTTTACCTATACTGCTTTGAAAACTTTCTTATCTATGGACAAAAAAACATGCATCCTCACCATCTTTTTTAGCAATTGCTGAAACAAATAAATCAAGAGTAATTTTTAAAACATCAAATCAGCAATGAATTTTTAAGTAACACAACCAAAAGTACTTTTGTTACAACATATATAACTATAACTAAGTCTAATACAAACAGCTGAATAAACTGGATATTTGCACTCTATTCAAAGTTGAATTCAGGTTGGCCCCCAGTTGCTGCTATGTACAGCATCTTGTTAAAGTGTTTCATTTTTGTTGTTGCAATGCTTGTCATTGAAAATGCTGTACCAAGAGGATAGGCAATGGTGATAGCAGTAATATCAAAATCATCAATTTTGTCATTCATCCTCACTAAAGCTGGCTCATTTTCATTCTTCTTTACATCAATATCTCCTATATCAAATTCATGCACTAATACTACAATATGAGGAGCTATTAATACATCAGAATGACCAGATTCCTCATCATTTTCAAGTGACATTTTAGTCCAATCATCATATGAATCATGAAAGAGAAAAGTCTTTTCTTCAACTTGTGTAGAAACAGCAGCAATATTGGTATTATTTTGATCAACAAATGCCGAAACAGGAAGAGAAGTAGATTCATAATTACCTTCACTGTTGAATACCACCATTGGCGTTGGGTGATATTCAAAACAACGACTTGAGTGATCCTCATAACCTGAAGTTAAATAAATAAATAAAATAAATTAATAATGTATAGACCTTTCCTGCAACATTGCTGTTTGTCAATTAATCGTTAATAAGCTGCCATGTTGTGGGATATGAACAATAAAATGCAAGCTCTGATCCACACAGAAAGACTCATTGCACATTTGTTTTAATTCTACTTATTGGTCTTTACATGGGCAGTTCTCTTGAAGGAAATAAAAATAGTGTTTTTTGCCTATTCATCTCTGCCACAACATGGCAGCTTGTTAATGATATTCATTGCTATATTGTAGAGTGGTGGGAAAGGTCTTAATACACAGTATATACTAACCATCTCTTGGTTGTTCAACTGGTGGTAAAACACAAAGGGTGTTAGTTTCAGTGATTTGTGATACTTTTTCAGCTTCAAAATAAAAACATTCATTTGGTGCAGCCTGAGAAGACACAGTATTATACTCAGTACTGGGTTCAATGACAGGATCAGTAGTGGTGTCCAAATCATCATAGGAAGGTGGAGGAGGAATCTCTGGTAGATCAGCAGCCTAATATTAAATAATAATAAATATTATGTTTATTGTAATCTAATGTAATA